ATCACGATGCAGTTCTCGGCGAGCTAATGTAAACTTGAACATTCTAGCTTCTCACGCATATCAAGTGACTGCCCTCACCCCCACCCCCCTACGGCTGGCTACACTCCCCCTGGCTCAGAGTTACCGTAGCTTTTTGGGAGTCACCGCACCATGCTGCCCCCCCTAACTGGAATAGACCCCGGAGCTGCTCCAAGTAGCTAGTAAGTGCAATATCGTGAGGAGAAGCTACATTGACCAGAGGATCTGGCTGAACTCTTCGTTGTATACTGCACAGATAACAGTTAAGTATGGGCTCCCTAAGTTTGCAGTGTGGTTTTAGCTGCTTGCATCAACATAGGGCACTGCTCCCGCTGGTTCGTACGTGGTGCTTTTATAAGAACTGCCCATGTAGGGTCTAGCTGCGCTTATCCCAATCGTTCACATGGACAGCGAATCTAAAATTTTCTTTTGTCAGAAGCGTAGGAGAACGATTCCTAATGAAGTGAATTGTTGAGGACGACTTTTCGGAGATGACGGTCGTCGAATGAAAGGCAGTGTCCGCGAACACGCCATCCATGGCAATGTGCGCTAAGTTGCTGCGGTAAGCGGATACTCCTCAACTAACTTTGTTGTAGAGTTTAGCCTTTTCCTTTCTTGTGGTCCTTGTGAATATTAATAACCGAACTAACCATGACAGAGGTTTGTTCTAATGATGGGGGTGGGGTGGAGACATGGCGGCGCAGAACGCGTTTGAAACCGCTACAAGCATTTACTTTACTGTAAACGTTTAAGTCTGACATTATATAATGATGTCTGATTCCTCGATAGTAGCATAGCCTGCTTGGACGTATATTGGGAAGCGTTTTTCTCACAGTACGCCTTCATTTTTACGGTATCGTTTCCGCCTATCAAATTCACAGGTGGACTGGGTTCCGTTCAAAAGGAAATGCTCAACAGGATTTGTTTTTCGCTGGGACTTTGTGGCTTGAATGCTCTTGATCTCATAGTTGGATGCAACTTGGATGTCATAACATCGTTGTGAGCGAAAATCAGGTCACACTGTCCAAATTTTGCTCAATCTGATGCAATATCTGAATGGGCGTTAACGCTCAAGTTGACATTGTTGTGTTTAACTGCGACCCCTTCTGGCATGGCAATTTGACTATCTATGTCTTGGTTTATGTTATTCCGTTCCATTGATTCTATTACGCTCATCCTCAGCTTTATTACGTCCTACGTTTCACGTCACCGATATGATTTTGTTTGGTCTGAGGAAAGGCGAACGAACAGAATTTCCCTTTTCAGTGTCTTGTATACATATGATTCGTTGTTTCAGTTTCCAAATACGGAACAATTAATGTCTTCAAAACAGCTCTCTATAGCTGAGATGTTGGTTATTAGTTAGAACTCAGCACTAATTCGATGTTACCGTATTCGAATCTTTTTTCTTTGCGGAACTTTCCACACACATGACACAAATCTCAGAATGAACTTGATAAAAAACTCTCTTCTCTTTCTAATTTTTTAATTTTTCTCTTACTAATTTCTAATTTTTAATCTTTCTCTCATTATTGTAATCAAGTGTATAGCTAGTGAGCATTTTCTTACCTGTTCAACATTTCCAAACTACATTACTCTCGAACAATATTTCTTCTCTAATTGTGTGCCAATTCGTCCCATCAGCTAACCGTTGAAGTATTGCATGGAAATCCGTCCATCGTCTTTTTGATTTCCACTGGTACATGTTGTCAATTTTACTTTTCAGAGTTAGCCTCTCCTTGGCTCCCACAACGAATTGCACGTTCGTGCTGTATCGTGTTTATTGGGCGACCGACTAGCGTCTGTTCATCAATCGCAACAACAATTTTACTCTCATCAGTGAGTTCAGCCGTCTAAAATGGTTGGCCGATAATTTGAAAGAGAATGTACCGTCCAGAAGGAGGTGAGGTCTTTTCACGTCATACACTTTTTTTTTGATCTGCTAGAATTCCTTATTCCCGGCGTTGATTGAGGCTAAGATATCCATGGCAGCCGACAGAGTTGAAGCCATGGCCAGACTTCATCCAGAAGCGCATCGACATGTGGGACAGGCTGATGGCAGAATACAAGGCTGAGCTCGCTCAAAAGTAAATTGGTTCTAGGCATTCTCGCATTTTAGACCTCGACGACTGTCCTTGACATAAGTATTGATTTTGAGTCGCTTTTGCCTAAATGACAGGAGCGCGTGCTCGTGGCCACGCTAGAGTATGGAAAATCTTTGACATTGTCATCTCTTTCCTAGTTTTCTTTGCGTTGCCAACCTCATTAAAGGCGTGGTCAAGTTATTTGAACCAGTCTGTATTTCAATGAATTGGCTATTACTATATGATCAGTATCAACATTTGCACCCAGTTCGTAGTGAGGGGAACAACCAAACTATGTCTATTACATCATCGATTTTTTTTTACAAACTACTACCAACGCAGCCAACTAGGTCGCGGCTGGCTCACGCACACGCTTCGGTTTAGGGCTGAACTTATTAAAATATATGCCTTTCTGATTAATTTTACTTTTTTGGCCTACTGGTTCGGTTATTCCTTCAGAAACCAACACCTATCAAAATCACTCTCCCTGATGGCAAACAGTTCGACGCTGAAGCGTGGAGGACGACGCCTCTGCAGATCGCTGAGAAAATTTCCAAGGGATTGGCAGAGAATACCGTGATTGCTAAAGTCAATGGAGATGTGAGTGAAGTCTCCGCTGTATTTTTTCTCGTAATTTTTTCCTACTTGTTCTTAATCTCTATATCTTTAAAAATAAAGGTGTGGGATCTTGATCGGCCGTTCGAGGGCGATGCCACGTTACATCTACTCAAATTTGATGACGATGAGGCAAAGCAGGTTGGTGTTCGATCTTGAAATTGAGTAAAATCTATCCACAGCAACGAATTTAGGTGTTCTGGCACAGCTCAGCTCATGTTCTTGGAGAAGCGATGGAACGGTATTGTGGCGGACACCTGTGCTATGGGCCTCCTATTGAGGAGGGTTTCTACTACGATATGTGGCACGATGTAGGTCGATCCCCCTATTTCCCTTAAGTACCTCATGCCAATCTTTTTTCTTTTACAGAATCTAACCATCAGGCAAGAAGACTTCCCTAATATCGATCAAATTGTGAAGTGCGCCATCAAGGTACAGTCTTTATTTTATCTATTTCCATTCTATTTATTTATATGCATCTTTTTATTTTCGCATCCGACCCCCCCATTTCTTTTCATTTTACCGTTCCGTTCAGGATAAACAACCGTTTGAACGGCTGGAAATGACGAAAGAGGATCTCTTAGAGATGTTCAAGTACAACGAGTTCAAGGTATGGTGCTTTTGATATTTGTTTGTAGTCCCCTAAAGATGCAATAGTGAACATGCGGTATTTTTTTTCATATTCTGTGTATGCAATTCCATCTTTTGTCGTGGCGCTGGTTGCTGCCCGTGGCTCAGACTGCACGCCTCAGTGTCACTTGTTGTGGTCGCAGTTCGATTCGCGATTGCAGTTGAATAGGATTTCCACTGAAATTCTGCAAATTATGGATTTTAGGTTCGCATAATCAAGGAGAAGATCAATACTCCGAAAACCACTGTGTACCGTTGTGGACCGCTCATCGATCTTTGCCGTGGCCCACATGTGCGGCACACGGGCAAAATCAAGGTTTTTTTATTCACACCAAATATTTTACCTCTTTCTTGTTTCAGTGCTATTGTGAATTCATTCATTTTTAAGGCTATGCAAATCACGAAAGCGTCGTCTTCGTACTGGGAGGGAAAAGCAGATGCTGAAAGTTTGCAGCGGGTTTACGGAATCTCGTTCCCGGATCCGAAGCAGCTGAAAGAGTGGCAGAAATTCCAGGTTATAATGAGTGAAAATTGTTTTCATAAATATTAGCCAATTCGAACGTTAAAGGAAGAGGCCGCTAAACGCGATCATCGGAAGCTGGGTCGCGATCAAGAGCTGTTCTTTTTCAACCCTTTGTCGCCTGGATCAGCCTTTTGGTATCCGAAGGGTGCTCATATCTACAACACTTTGGTGAACTTTATCCGAAAAGAGTATAGGAAACGTGGTTTTACTGAGGTCTGTCTTTTCATCGTTCTGATTGCAAAATAGTTTTATGGTTAACTTTTTTTGTAGGTAATAACGCCAAATATGTACAACAGCAAACTATGGGAGACATCAGGGCATTGGCAGCACTATTCGGACGACATGTTCAAGTATGTCTGTTACATATAATATGTTTATGAGCTTTGAGCTTAGTTGAGCTAATATTATGCGATCATATTTCTGATTTTCAGATTCGAAGTAGAAAAAGAGCAGTTTGGGTTGAAGCCCATGAATTGTCCTGGCCATTGTCTGATGTACAGCCATCAGCCACGTACTCATAACGAGCTACCAATAAGATACGCTGACTTTGGTGTACTACACAGGTATGCAGTATTTCCGTACAAATCATGAAATGAACGGACTATACAGGTGAGGCTTGTGGGCCCACCAGTAGTTCGTGACGACGTTTTTATTTTCATGGGACAAATTTCAAGTTTTTTCGTGTACCTTTGTGAAAGTGTAAATTTGTAATTAATGTACTTAATGCTTCCAAATTTAACATCTTCAGAAACGAGATGTCAGGTGCTCTGACGGGCTGATTCGTGTGCGACGTTTCCAACAAGACGATGCCCACATATTTTGTCGCAGGGATCAAATTTGGGATGAAATCAAGGTACAGTGTCAACTTTTCCCTTGTTTCTTCACTGATTTTGTCTTATCGTTTTTTGTTCAATTCACATATTTTGTTTTTATTCTTGTTGATATTATTTGTTCTTAATTCTGAGAAATGCTTTCCAGGGATGCCTAGACTTCCTGTCCTTCTGTTATGAAAAAGTATTTGGGTTCACGTTCAAGCTGAATCTCGCTACGCGCCCTGAAGGGTTCCTTGGAGAGCTCTCGGTGAGTTTGTCAGTTTCTGCTTCGTAATTGAAAACAAAATTTAAGAGAGCTGAGCTATATTTCTTGTAGACATGGGATGAAGCCGAAAGTGATCTCAAAGCTGCATTGAACGAAAGTGGAAGGCCTTGGAAATTGAATGAAGGAGATGGCGCGTTTTATGGACCTAAAGTATGGTAACACCCTATATTTGCACTATGTTTTTTGACGCAATTTTGTTTCAGATCGATATCAGTATTCAAGATGCATTAAGACGTAATCATCAGTGCGCAACGATTCAGCTCGATTTCCAATTGCCTCAGCGATTCGACTTGAGTTACTTCGAGTGAGTTTTTTCCATCCTTTCTTTTATTCCTGTCTTGTACGGTGAGCAATTAAGTTTCGATGCTCATTTACGCAAACACATTGTTCAGTCGTTGTTCTTGTTTTGTTTACTCGCTGTGTTGATTCATCGATCTGTCTTTATTTTGGGATTCGGAAAGAAAAGGGATAGATAATCAATCAAACATCGGGGCATATTTTCATCCTGCCGAAATTTTCATATTACAGTCTCTTTTCCGAAAATCCTTCAGGTGTAATTCTCATTTCCAGCGCTTAACAATGACTTTTGAGTGTGTTTCCTTATTAAGTGAGAAGGGTGAAAAGCAGCGACCTGTGATGATTCATCGTGCGGTGCTGGGATCTGTCGAGCGAATGGCAGCTATTCTAACGGAGAATTATGGTGGAAAGTGGCCGTTCTGGTTATCTCCTCGACAAGTTGGTTTCATTTGATCGAGAACCTACTGATATGAAACAAAAAAATGTTTTCTATTCAGGCAAAAGTCATCACTGTGCATGAGTCGGTGAACTCCTACGCTAGACAGGTCAAAGAAAAATTGTACAATGCAGGTTTTGAGGTAGCATCTTTGTCCTCCTCTGTTGTCTGCTTATACTCTGCTTAAAGAAGCGATTATTGAATTTCAAATTCAGGTCGAGTTCGATGAAGGCTGTCCAGATACTCTGAACAAACAAATTCGAAACGCACAGCTTGCTCAATTCAATTTCATTCTCGTGGTTGGACAAAAAGAAGTTGAACATGGCACTGTGAATGTTCGCACGAGAGACAACGCGGTTAGATTTCTTTTCGTTTTATTTGTGGAAGATAAATTGCTTTGTGTTGCGTTCAAACAACTCTACAAACTTGTGTTGATGGAAGTTGTTTGGCGCCTATGAAATCAATTTTCAACATCTCTGATTTTCCGATCTCGCGAATATATAAAAATCTTGAGGAAGTTCAGGTACGAGGTGAAGTTAGCATTGATGATCTGCTGGCAAAATTCCGACGCTTTGCCGACGAATACGTAAAGGATACGGAAAATGCTGAAGAATTTTCGAAGGGAATATCTTCAAACGGCTCGGAGTGACTGTTAAGATGATTTGCATTTGTTCTGATTTCCATAATCTTGTTGTGTTTAATTGTCTGTCCCGCTTTATGTATTGGTTGGAAAATTATTGTTTGGGTATGGAATTGCTTCCGAGCTTTGGCGTTTTCTTTTTCGAAAGTTAATGTTGTTGCGTATAAATACCTCTAGTCTGAGTCATTGGTTGGAGCAGCGATGGCTAGTACCTTTGAACGATACAGAGGTGTAGTCAAATTCTGACCGCATTATGGCAAAGTAATACAGGCCGCGGTCCCACTGGAATGCAGGAGTTATATATGGAGTCGAGCTTTCCACGAGTAATTTTTGGCAGCAGTTGGCGAGGAAATGCGCAGCATAACCCCGTGAGTCTCGTTATCAAATTTTGTAATTGGTAGCTCTTGTTCGAGATAGTTATGCTTGCTGCTTCATTCGACTTCTAGGGATTTTGGTTAGCAAGTACTTGCATTGTTTTGTCGTTCACGTGGCAATGTCAAAGCTACGGGTGGGGTTAGGTAGCAAGAGCCAGTCTATTCGAATAGGAAAGAGGGGTTCCCAAGTGCACAAGTCGCCTCGACTCCACAAGTTGTCTCGACTCAAAAGGCGCTATGGCCTTGCTTTTGTGCGCTGCTGGCGCTGCCACTTTATCAGTCGTGAAATATGCCGTGTCTGCGCTCTCTCTAGTGGTTTCAAGGAAATGCAGAGTGTTCTCAATGATTACGTCAGCAGTGTGACTCATCCGAAGCGGAAGTTAAGGGGGGAACAAGGGTCTCGTTTCGCAGATTTCAGAGGTCTCCCTCAGTTTTTTCCTCATCACGCTCATTTCATCACCTACCGTTTTGTCGGCGCCGAACATTCCTGCCATCCACTTTCTCAGAGAGAGGATATTGATGATGGGCAAAAGGAAGTGTTAATGGGTATCACCATTGACAAGAGTGGATATTATGCACACCTTTACTTTTGGAAGAAATATATTATCTTAATGGAAATTATCAAATTAAAAATCCTACGCTAGAAAACCGTGATGGCACTGAACCCATACGATGTCACTCTGCCTCTAGAAAGTGTTGTGCTAGCTTGTTGTAGGCTGCATATTTTTTGAAAACAAAACCAACCTGGTAAAGGCGTTCAAGAATTCTTTGTTTCTGAAACGAGCGACCTGTGAGGTTGTCGCAACAGAAATTGTGCAGCGGGTAGGCATTCCGTTCGTATCACCGGTGGTGTTCAAGTAGGAACAATCGCCTGCTTTCCTAGCAAAACCAACTCTTAAGTGTGCGACTAGAGGTCACCCTAGCAAGTTCATTTTGCAATTTACACCGGTAAGATCCTTTCCTGCATCGCCTCCTGCCCTGGACGAACACCGGGTTGCTGTTAAAAAATCTCGGGCCCTATCAAAAACAGAACAATTTCAAGCTAGAGGCCACTAAAGCGAACCAAAACCTGTCGAGATCTCAATCGAGTATATCCTACTATCGTCACGTTTTCAACTCCCATAGCAACTTTTCCCACTTTTTTTTCGAGAAGTATCGTTCAGTGTTTCTAACAAGGTCTCTTTCGAGTAAACACAGCAAATTTTCATCAGATCTTACTCTTTATTAGCGGGCGTTACCGTCTAGAAATTGACCAATTCATTTTTTTCTAGCAAACGAGATAGTGGAACATTCTCAATATGAGGTCGGTTCCACGATGATCATCCTCTCGTACATGTCTTCGTCTGCTATGACATATTTCAGCTCCTTTTAATTGCTAAGAATTAATGCTTGGGCATACTCTTCAATGCAGGGAGATATGTACAATCACTCCTACTCCACTTTCTGCCTACACTACCACCTACAGTTCATATCCCACCACAGCACCTTTTTTTATCACCTGGAACGCGAATGATCTCTGTTAGAAGCGGAGTTTATGACGGAAAACCGGCTGATCAAGGTAGGGATGGTCAGAGAACAGAAATGAAGGGAGGAGCATGGGAAACTACCCAGAAATCAAGCAATGGGACATCTCATCTGTTTGATTTCTTGATTTTCGCATTAAAGGTACAGCCCAGGCAGAGGTCGTGTGAACGCTTCCCTTTGGTCTGTAGTATGGACCAGGGTAAGAATGGTGTCGAGGACGTGGTTGTAGAAGTACGACCCTAACAGAGCATAAGCAAGATTACAACAGCCGAGCGCAACGACCCACGGTCGATTCAACAGTCTACGGACAGCTTGAACTCAGTCCTTTAAACAGCCTCTATTTGATGCTCTCGCCTGCGCTCTCTCGCTTAAACAACGGCTTATGATTACTAAGATCGAACACATCCAAACTTTGCCACATTGTAATTGGCTCACCCACTCCGGATTCCCTCCTCCCTCCACGGCTTAGTTCAAGAGCTCTCACCTTCATTCTTGGGATTTGGAGCCGAGCCAGGCGCCATCCTCTAATCGTCTGTGCTCTGGCGTTTCGCGGCAGAGAACATAGGGGCGAGTTCAAGTAGTCACGTAATCCGATTCAACGGCAGCCACGGCGCGATTTGTCCCTGGGTCAAGTTTGCTGAAATCTCGAAAAAAATCGTAGAAATCTACACCCTCGATGACAAGGTTCCACTCCTCTTTTTCCCAACCTTTTGAACAGCACGCGGTACAGTTAGAAAGAGCTAGATTCGCTTCTGTCAGGCAGTGTTGTAACTGCTATGAAAGCCTACCACTCGAAGAGATATAGCTTCCAAAATCTGTCGAGGGAGCATCGAGGATGCTGAAATTTTCATGCGAGTTTTTGCCACTTAAACGCAATCTCCCCTATTTCGCAAGATCAAGGGAAAACGAAGAGAGTTTTGGAAAGCGGAAGGTTTGCGCTTTCTAGCAGTATGTTTAGCTCCTTCCTATATCCTTCAGTTGAGGAGATATTGCGTCGAGGATCTATCGAGGGTGATTCTTGGCAGCTCCCTTCTTCACAATTGCAATCAATCTTCCAACATAAGCAATGAGAAAATGGGCAATCGTTACCATCCGATTTTATCTGGGTATAGGCCATGCATCCGACCTTCACTCGAAGTTGCAGAATCGACTGAAAGGCGTTATATGATCATGGCCAGCTGCATTGTAGCAAACACATTACGTCACTATAGCCTGAGGAACAGCTTCATTTTCCCAGGGCCTTTTCTTGACGGTTGTCGTTTTTGTGACAGCGTCGCTAACAACAGTGTCATTCTCAACGAGGTACTAAGGGGGAGGGAGCGGGCGGTAGATGGAGGAGGTGCTTTTGCAGCGATTTGCACATGTGACTCCGTTCCTTGCGAGGATGCACTTTCATTTTTTGTACTGCTTTCAAATACGTCCTTCTCATAAATGTCGAAGAATTGAACAACTGAACCTGCAAAGATATTTCCACTGATGACACTGACCATCACGAGTACGACCCCCCCCCCATGACCCAGCCAGATCAGGGTGAATAGCGGTCGAGGGAATCGTCGACCCCCTGTCGAGGATCCTCGACCGATATTCACCCTGTATGGACCCCTTGGCGCTCCCGAGCACGGAAACCAACCGACAAGAGCGCTGAAGCCTTGCAAAGTGAGGTGCTGAAGCTGCGGAGTTTTTCTCTCATCAGGCTGTTGTCTGGCGCTCTCTCATCTCTAGCGCTCTCTCGCCTTATACTCTCCTCTCCTCGCTTAGTCTCTCATTCCCCCAGCACAGCGGATTAGGAAGGTGACTAAGCCCTAAACCTAAGCGTGTTTGACGGATTCTTTTCCTTTTTTCTTTAATGCCTGCCCATTTCGCACTAATACATCCGCATTCGTGTGGAAGAGCCACGCCAATGCGATCCTGAGGCATGGCTTCAATGGGACTCTCATCGATCGGTGGTGCCCTCTTCGACGCTAACGCTCTTTCTTCTGAATAGAGTCTAGAGTCAGACTGTGAGAGAGTGGACGTGGCGCTGCGTGGGTATGACCCTACTACTTTGCTTTCTACTCTTCGCTGCAAAACGCGCATCGTCCCGTACTCTTGAGGACCCGCCTGCTTTTTGACTTGAGTGTAGCTCCCTTTTTTCGACCTCCGACCGTGTCGTGGAGTCCTACTTTTGCGAAAATTGTAAATGGTGACACAGTCCCTAATTATTTAAAAGAAGGACTCAATGAATAGGCTTAGGCGAAACAAACAACTATCAATACACTCTTTAGTGTAGCATTGCTAATCCATTTGCTATTGTACAGCGAGATCTCGCTCTAATCTTTGTGTCGACCTCTAATTTTTTTACGATGTTATAATAGGTAGCGCTAGTGGATATAATTTCCCATAGGTTCAGCACAAATTTTACAGGGTGCTGCAAGATGCAAGAGGCCGTTCGAAAGTAGTCCTAAACATCTCTTCCGTTCGCGTCATATATCGCCGAAAAGAAAACGCTCCCTTTGCGATTGGTTTGTTGCAAGCATGTGCAAATCATTTCCAATGAGCCGTGTGTTTGAGCACAGTAAATCATCAGGCCAACTCTTCGCTTCTGTACGCATTTCCTTCGGTATGTATTGAAGAACGTTACAAGACTTCATTCGTAGGGAGTATCCATTTTCACGGGCAGATGTGGTCTACTGGCAGGTGGCACGCTTACCACGCGAGCGGTCCGGGGATCAAATCCTGGGCCGTGGGTCGCCCGGGCCAACCGAGCCTTCCATCCTTCTGTGGTCGGATAGTTGGTACCAGACTTGTCTGGAAGAATAAAACAATAAGTTGTACATCGGCTGGCCCCCGCTAGCCATCGTATAGGCCACAACGCACTCAAACACCATACGAATGTGCAAATGAAAGTAGAATGCGTGCCGCATGCATAACAAAAAGGGATTGATCAACGGCAAATGTTTTATTCTTCATCATTTTATCCATTTTCACTCAACATAGCGATATTTAAGCTTTGTGACCGTAGTTTGCTTTTGGCGGTTATATGTTATTACAGGAACAGTGCTCGAATTCGATTTGAGTTTAGGGTAGCCTTCTCTCTTGGAGCAAAACCTAAAATAAGCTCAGAGTAGATGACGTAGTATTTGAGCAGCACTTACTTCTTTTAATATTGTTATATTAATGCAAGGATTTATTATGTTGTACCTGTAACCGGTGAGACGTTTATCCGAATGTGTTTTGATTTCAACACCAGCATGTTTGCATCCATTGACAGCATCCATGTCACGGAGTTCCACAAGTTTTACTTCAACTTTTTTACCGTCCGGTGCCTTGAATGCGATCATCAACTTCACTGACTAAATTTTCTTCCTGCGGTTCGCGCACCTTAATCCAGTAATTACATCTCATGAAACCATCTCGCTGGTCGTCCGCCTTACTACCATCTAGTTTATCTTTCAGGGTTTTCCACTGTTTCTCTGCTTTCACTTCTCCACCGCAACCTTCTGGCTAAACCCATTTCATGAAGGAACCTGCTAGGCTGAGCTGCAAAGCACAGTCACCCTTGTTTCGCAGTACTGTCCACCATATCCACTAGGACATATGCATTTTGAGCGATTTCGCGGATGAGGGAATCCTTCATTCTGGCACTTTGTGGATTCAGCTTGGGATGTATCTAAAAAATTGGCATTATCTTTCGCGACCTCTACTTTTTGTCGCGCAAACACGTCCTCACATCTGTTATTTTTTATTTATGCCTACCAACGCAATCGTAAAGCATGTTCATCATGAGCAAATCGTAGAACGAAATGATATCGGATCCCAGGGTCTCCGTGTAATGTTCATCCTTAGCTACCATAACGGGCGTTTTTTGGTCTTTGGATACACTGGAAAAATGTGATCTTTGCTATCCTTCTCTTAAGGTATTTCTCCGTGAAGATTTTACCTTGTGGATCCGTAGTGCATTACGCTGCCGTAATCATATGTCAGATTATAGTTATTGTTGGTCTCCGGTGTCTGCGGTTCAAACTGGTCACCCCAGTCACCCTGGAGTCGCTAACGATTTATTATGTTGTATAGCTTCGCTACCTTTCAGAACGCTCACTGGGATATAGTTTGTGTTAACTTTGATAAATTGGTCACGATCATGTCTCGTATGCGTATGGAAGAAGCCCAAAGCATGTCCAATTTCGTGAGCTGCGTGTCCGATCTGAAGCAAATGAAAAACATGGTTGAGTAATGTTAGGATACTGGAACTGTTTCTCTCCTATTCCCCTCCTATGAAGCTCATACGAAGGGATAGCCTGGTCCAACGTCGAACTTTGTTAAACACATACCGTTTCACAGCCTTCTGCGAGTGAGAGATATTGCGGCCCTTCTTTCACCCTTCTGCCAAGATCCGAGCTACATCCCTCGCCCTTGACCACAACAAGGTAGTGCTCTGCTGCAATAACAACACAAACTAAGCGACACCTATATCTTTTTGAATTCTACTCTGATGAGTAACCAGCCGTGCTCTAAATGTCAAGCTAGAAGGTTGGACAATCGATTTCGTGAAACTTAGCTCCCGGCCTGGCTGGATCAAAGGAGTGTGTTTAGCATATGAAGACATAAAAGGAATAGTGAAGAATTAGCGTTTTTATAAGGAATGGCCGGACACTTCATGCAATTTTGGAATGACCGACGGACAAGTGTGGCTTCGGACTTGATCCATCGGTACATCAAGCAAACACCAAGGTGGTCGCCTTATGGCCGCATTTTGTCACGAAAGCTCTGCGTAAAGAGTACGGGACGCCACATGTGTCTAGCAGGTCTATCGTCTGCTATTGAGTGTCGTAGTGTGAGTGGTACACAGAAGAGGGGGGGAAGGAGGGTGTAAGCGCTGGGTTCATGGGCGGAACTCGCGTCCAGTGGCTTGGGAGGGAGCACCCGACAGGAGGCTCGTCGCACGGCGAGAAGGCGGAGACGCAGGCAAGTCAGCGTTGCAGCGCGAGCTGTAGCAATTTGCGTCAAGGTAAATAGAATGCGCTATGGTACATCTCATATCGCATAGTACGCCCTCGACTCACCCGCTGACCCATCTGCGTCTCTGCTTTCTTACCGCGTGACGGGCCTCCTTTCGAGCACCCGAGGGGGACGGGGGTCGTATCGTTGTTGAAAACGTAACTGTATGAGATGACCAAAGGCCACTGAAGAGCACCTGCCGTCTGTTTGTTTTGTGTCTCTTTTCGGGAGCGTTATCTTAAGCAAGTTGGCCGTACGGAATGAGAAGCATGTTAGCGTGTCGCGGTTAAGGCCATTTAAATTCCGAAAACTCGCGTTCCTGTTAAATAGTGCAGAGGTAACTCTAAACGGGACAATTTTCGACTCTTAACTTCCCACGCTTTCCAGGAAGCTCATATTGTTCCATAATTCTCCATAAAAGTTATAGGTTTAGTCGCAAGCTTTGAAAAAAGTCATGATTATTTAGAGTCCAAACTCTTGCATCTTCATAAGATTATTCAGACTGCTCTAAATTACCTAGTCAACGAATTTTCAATGGAAAACGTTCCGAAGACGTTTTAGAAAGCGAATTATTTGAACCTTCAAAATCTTTCAAAAAATCGTGAAAGGTGACACTTAAAGGAAATTGTGACAGTTTAAAGGGAAAACTGTGAATATTCGAAGAGTTCCTCCAAAATAGGGAAGAAGAATTTTTGCGTTCGAAATATCTAATTTTTGTTAAGATTGAAATATTACAAGAAAGTTAAGCTCATTAGAGGTGCAGCAAGTGAAGGCCACCAGTCTAGGAGAAGCACACGTGCTCCTTCGTCAGTGCACATACAACGATGACCACATATTTTGCATACCTTATGGCAGTATCTCGGTATTTAATTTCTTCCCGGAATGAGTGAGGCGGTACGGAGAGCCTCCTTCGATGTAAGAAGGGGGGGGGTGCCTCCCAGGAGGCCCGTCGCGCGGCAGAAAGGCAATGTCAGCGGACGAGTTGCGCGCGTACTTTAAGGATTTCGCGTCAAGTTAAATAGAGCGTCCCATTGCACGTCCTGCATCGCACATCACGCGCTGCAACTCGTCCGCCGACTCTGCCTTCTTTTCGCGCGACGGGCCTCCTGGGGGGTACCAAGAAGGGGAGGGGGAGGAAGAGTGTGCTGAGTTCGGAAATTCACCAACGCCACGCTCGACCCTGGTCACTGGAGCGAGCAGGGTTTGCTGGAATGCTCCGGAAGGCGACGACAAATGGATACCTTGCTGGCGAAGGATCGACGAATATAGTTAACCGCTTGAGAGGTGATAAAGGTGATTAGTTGTCAGAAAGCAAGTGTCAATTAAGAAAGGCGCCTTGCGTTGGGACGGCCGCTGTGTTTTCAAACCGCTAAGTTGTCATTGTTGTTGAAGTTCAAAAATAAGAAAAAGCGCCTCACGTTTCTTCCTTTTTATCATATCCACTGTGTATTCTGTGAAGTTAACACATGTGTCATCCATCCACAATTGTGCTGCTTTTTTGAACGAAGTTTTGGTTTCCTCATCTGAGAGTGATAAGAAAAATTCTTCGATGTTTTAAACTGCAAAAGCAAGTGGACCTGACCTAGATAATCCCATAACATGTAAGCAACTCCTTTCGACCATTTCAAGGCGGGGAAGGTTTTGTCATTGAAGGCTTGCCTTTTGGGACGAGCTCTTCTAATACCTTCAGCGATTTGATCCTTTTGCTCCCTAAAGATCATGCAATAGCAGAAAGAATGAAACAAAAAGCAGGAGAGCTAACTTCGAAAGGACGATATCTCCCTGGAACAGCTTGGCTGCAACTCCTCTTCTCGTGTTGACTTCCTCGATGGAGTCTCCCAATGGTTGTGCTCCGTCAACAGCCTCTCTTTTGGAAAACTGAAAAACCCGAAGTCTGTATCCGGTATGGATGAGTTTCACATCAGGACTCACCTTCTGCTCTCCAAGAAATTCCGTTCGCCATTCTGGGTTCAAAATGGATGAGTCGACGCTCACCCATGCGGCCAGAATTAAGCAGAGTATGAGGAAACCCATTGTAGACGTCGATGAGCTAAATATTATATTTTTTATATTTAATATTATATTATTATTTTTCAAAGGTAATAAAATTGGTAGGATTGGGAAATGGCTGGAAGATGAAGTCAATCACTCATACCCGTATTTATATGGTGCTTCCTAGTTCAGTAGTTGACTTAGCGGGATGTTGTCGATATTGATACATGGACGTTGACGACGTAAAAAAATCCATCTCATCTGCGGCTCTGGCATGCCAATGACTGTAGAGGCAAATAGTGCGGCAGCTTCAGCTAAATCCATGAAAATTACGGATCATTTGCACTGTTGTGAAATCTATGTTTATTTTGTAAGCTACTATATTTATTTAAAATAGAAGTTTGTTCGGTCATCCTTCTTCACCGGGGAAGAAATATGTTTTCCCCACTTGCCATCCCTCCATTTCTTCTAGAGAAGGGCGTTGCCCCAAACCATTTACTCGCGATACTACCTGCAAATGAAGTGGTCGGCTTTTGGACAATTTGCAGGTGGCTGTCTCATTATGAAACGCAGCGTACAGAGCCTTTCATAATTATAAGCTGACCCTCAAATTTTGCATTTCCAGAAAAAGCAGCCATTTAGGGCTTTTCCATCATCATCAACGGATCCTCAGTACGAATAACCCGATGTATCCGATTTTTGGCAGCAACACCATTTTTCTGAATTTTTTGTATAGAAGTCCATTGGTTTTTGCACCGTTTCATAATTGTAAGCACGCCCTAAGAAAGTGAACAATTTCTTATGGGGATATACAGAAGGTGCTTACAGAAGTGAATACCTGTCACTAGCAACTCTTTGGACTTCATTTTCGGAATATTTTGTGGCAGTCTTTTGAAAAGGGGGAAAATTTATGGATTTGACGTGCTGGGCTCGGCAAAAGAGTGGATGCGAAACACATCGGGAAAGTTCTGGTTCATTCCAATGACGTTTGAAAAGCTACCAAGTTTCCAGGTGTTCCGCCACTTTTGCACACGTGCACACACACTATCAATGAAGAATTTTGAAGGCTGTTCCAATCACTACATACTGTTGAATCTAGTCATTAACCACTTCAGTGTTGGAAAATGAAATCCGGGTAGGGCTAAGAAGAAGCAGAACGTTTTAAGCAAGGCGGCGAATATCGTCCTGAGGCTCAGTGGCCACAGCAGAAAGGCACGGCTCCAATTCTCCAAGTTGAACTTAGTTAGAGATTCAGTAGAGGTAGTTCTTCGTCACGGTGGCACCACACACCTTGATAGTTTCATTAAGATTGATTTTTCTGAATGAAAAAAGTTAATGTGGGCAGTTTCAACGACGGCAAGCGCTTCGGAGTAACTTTTGAAGGCAGACCGTCTGATTTAGTGCTCATAATTTCAGTGGAGGACGTGTGCAAGTCTGGATTGCTTCCTGTAATAATGTTATGATAAAACTTCACTTAGTGACCTGCAAAACAAACTCCACGGATTACCAGTGAGTCAACATCTAGTGCCTTTTCCATGCCTGCGCATCGTCTGAGCTACGTCTTTTAACAGGAAGATCGGCCATCCATGTTTGTCCTTCCTCGAAAAATTGACTGTATTCTCACGTAAGCGTCTGGCAGTGACGGCCTGTAGTCCGGATGTCCATCCGATGGAGGACGTCTAGGACGTCAGCGCCATAAAGGTTTATGCGAATAATCGCGTCCTACAAAGCTCAGAAATTCTGAAACAGTCTGTTGTCAAGGCTTGAAACGGAATCGATGAAGAAGGGCTCCGGAACCTGTCGCCCTTTAACAAAGTAGGGGTAATTCTTAACCCTCTCACGTGTGTGAGTAACATAAACAAATTGTTCATTGTATTATAGGGTGAATTTATAATTATGAAACGGTGCAGAAACAAAAGTCCAAAATTCGAGGGCGAGTTATAATTACGAAACACACTGCAGCTGTTCTTCTTAACCTTGCGACCATCCTGCTTGAGATACCTCTCACTTCACAAAATGAGTAGGAGCCCCTCGTTAGGAATTTCCCACGCCAGTAACCTCGGCCTGCAACACTCACCAAATTTTTTTCTACGCCACCGATTAAAACTTTTCATGACAACGAGCACGTATGGAATTCAATGAAATCGTTCAGCATGCAGCCACAGAGTGTGGTGACAAGATGGGCCACCAGCGCGCGCGTGTCCTCTCCGGATCAATCCCAGGTCAAACACAGCTCACGTGAGCCATTGTGTAGATGGTTAGCTGCTGCCAGGAGCATCAGTTACTATGCAGCACACTTCGATATGTCCATTCGAAAAAAGTCGTAGTTTGAGGATTAGACTATCCTACTCTCGGGCTCCTTTTTTTTGAAGCTGTGTTGTATAATGTACACATTATACAATCCAGTGGCATGTCAGAGCAGCTGTGAAACGTTTCCACTACATCACCGTCCATGTATCAATATCGAGAACGTCCCACTAAGTAAACTTTGGAGGGGGGAAGTACTATATGAATAGGGAGGCACCATTATTCAACTCACTTCTCCAATCCCAGCAATTTGCCGTTCTTTACAAGATAATCATACTGAGAAACATTGAGCTCTGGTTGGTACAGTGGAAATTCTCATGTGCACTCGATTCACTACTGGCGCACGTATGAGCGCTGCAATGACAATGTAAAATTTTAAAAAAATCGGAAATATCAAAATTTGCATGGACTCGTTCTTTTACATGAGCCTCAAATCATCCACTAGAGGAGTACAAGTGTTTTGATCAATCATGCCTAATAGAATCTCAAGTGAGATATCAGGAAGACGAATTTTACTTTCAATCCTCTGCCCAAGATGCCACAAATACTTTGAACAGGGGCATTTTCAAACCTCCTATAAAAATTCTCTAGACATATTGGCTCCTCTGAAATAAAATGAACTGCGGTTTCTATGCGCAATGAATTCAAGTAGCCTGGTAGCGGCCATGGATCCTTTATCTAATCGGAATGCCAGATGTTCAGAATGCCTGTATTTGAAATGTTTATTGAATCGTTTTCACCTTACCTATCAAGATAATTTTGCGAAGGATCCCTTCGAGCATCGGAAAGTCGATCTTCCATTTCGCTTCCACATTTGGCTCTGCATTTCTTCCCAAAAACTCAATTTTTCGCGAAAGAAACTTTTGATACAAAAAATTGAAATCAAGCCGTGCGGCCCAACAACTCCTGTTCGTAAATCTGATTGAGAGCAGCACTGCACTTTGATGTCTAACTCCTTTTGCGCTAGCATGAATCCGCCAATCAAACGCAGAGATGTTCAATGAAAGCTATTGCCTTCAAACTAGTTAACGTTTAAATTTTTTGAAAGTCCGTGTCATTTCATTTAGTTAGCATGCTCCCATTTCCCTTAACGCCAGTGCTTACACACGTCTTTCAAGCAACAAATATGACCCCCTTAAAGATATACTATTTATTGACAACGCACGACGCTCTTAGATCTGTGCGCCCCGTCTGCGCAGTTTGGTGAAGAAGTGCATCTTGATGTTCGCTGACCGTTTCGCTGGATGCGATTCGTAAGCTCGCATCGTCGTCGCAAATAGCAATGAAATGGCCTGGTTCATTACTGTTCAAAGACAGAGTTTGTGATGAAAAAGCAGCACTTCAGAAATGAGGTTAGAAATTATTATTGGTACAGGGGTGAAAACAAACATAGAACAACGGCAACAGATTCCCAGATATGGGACTTTTTTGCAGTGTTCTTTTACGTGCATTCATGCGATCTTATCAAATGTTGCCTCTCATCATCAAACACTTCTCTCTCTGCCAAACGTCTAAATGATTAATCCAACCTACACACTTGCAGTTGGAATCATTCAGAGCATGGTTGGGTACCATATACAGAAAATTCAAGAAGATAGATGAGGCTAGCCGGCCTTGGCTTATAATTTTCGTACGTCACCGAACCTATCTCCTTGTGATCAGAGGAGACGGATGTAGCTCACAGCTCGTACGGTACGTGAGCGGGAGGGCCACAAGACCTCTCACTCCGCCCAGCTGTGGAAGGTATGTGTTTCAAGTTAGGGATGAACCACACTCTTAGAAATAATGAGTCAAACAAAACGAGGGGGAACCATCACGGTTGTCTTTAAATCGTCGAATGCTCCCTGTTTTTTTTATGTGTTTTCATGTTTTTTGCTTGCCTTAGATCGGACACCGTACAGCTCATGAAATTGGACATGCCCTCGATTCCTTCCATACGCATACGAGCCGACCGTGACCAGTTATTACAGTCGACACCAAGAAATCGGATTAAGGTGTTTATGATATTTATGTTCGGTAGCGAAACTACAGACATAGATATTACTAATTTCGTGAACTAATTTCAGCACTACTGAAAAAGCAGTTTCGCACCGGCAAGACAGCCCGCAAGACCAATAATAACTATGATTCTACGTCGTATGACTACGGTAGCTATTCAATCATATGGATGCCGCAAGGTACCAACTCTCTATGAAGAAATATTGTAAGAATCATAAATAGATCGAAATCATATTTGCAGTATATCTCAGATCGGAAAAACCTGTTATGTTGCTAAGGATAAGGACTAACGGAGACCTAGATCCGATATCATTTTCGGTCTACGCGATCTGCTTATGATGAACAAGCTTGTACAATTGTCTTGGTAGGCATAATAATGAAATATGATGTGTGGATAACAAGAGGGCTCATCAAAGATAGTGATTTCATTCAAGGCGATGTGACGCCGAATCCACAAATCCCGAATAGATGGATTCCTCATCCGCGGCAATTGCTCCATATGCATTTGTCCCAGCGGTTAGTGGTGGACCGCACTGCGAAAACAAGGGTGACGGATCTCTTGAGATTAGCCTCACAGTTTTTCATGAATTGATTTAGCCAGAAGGTTATGTGGTGAGAAGTTGGAAGCAGAGGAAGATCTGGAAAACCTTCGACGATTCACTTAGAGTGATAGCAGGCGGACGACAGCCCAGACGGTTTCATGAACTGGCAACCTACTGTGATTAACGGTCCGTTAA